TCGTCTACATTCCCTATAAATTGATGGAAGTCTTAAGACTTTATTCGTACTTTGATTTATGCAATTTGTTGGAGTGAAGTTGTAATCTCATCACTCTTATTGTGATCATGTGTTGGTGGCGGTTTATTCTTATTCCGGTAGACCGTATCAATAAGTGCTCGACCGTGTCTGCTAAGGTATGTGTCGTGTGTGTTGGTTAAAGGTTCTCTGTGGTTCACTTTTTCCCTAATTAGGTCGACCACCTCAACCTTTCAGTCGACCGTATCTGTGTAATTATAAGATAAGGTCGTCCATACAGTGGATCCTGGTCGACCTCATCTTTGTAATTTGGTGATAAGGTCTACCATACAGTTGATTCAGGTCGACCTGACAAGAGCTAATTTTGTATGTATTTGACATTCAATTCATATTCTGATCGTTGCAGGATGGATAATAGAGATGATACAGATGATAGAGTTGTTGACGAGATTAACTTCGATGAGGAACCTAAGGATGCTCGAGGAGGATCTATGGATAATCCAGATGATGAAGTGATTGGGGATGATAAGGAATCAGAGGGTGCTGAAGAAGAATTTATGGATGATGAAGAAGCTACTGAATATGAACAACAAATTCCTTCCATGGAGTTCCAAACACTAGAAGATGCAGAGAAATTTTATGATGCCTATGCTAAAGAGAAAGAGTTTAGCGTTCGACGTAGAGATCTTCGGAGGAGTTGTCGAGGAGTAGCAATTGGGAGGACAATGGTATGTTCGAGATAGGGGAATAGACAGAAGATGCATATAGATAAAGAAAGTCGGACACGACAACATCGTAAGATGACAAGACATTCTTGCAAGGCATTGTATACATCGTAAGTTCGAGAGGAAGTACTCACATCGTTGCTGCAATGATGAAGAAAATCAATTCCTTCGGTCTCATCAAAATGTGAGTGAAGGAGACAAGGCTCTGGCGATAGGGATGCAACAGTCAGGAATAAAACAATGCAACATTGTTCAGTTCATGAAGAATAAAGTTAGAGGATATGAGAATCTGGGGTACACTCCAAAGGATTTGGATAACGCTGTTTAGAATCCCGAACAGTTGACGACGATCTAATAGGAGATGTGAACCAAACATTGAGTTACTTGCAAAGTAAACATACCTCTGATGCGGGCAACTTCTTCAAGTACACAACCAGCGATGAAAGTGAATTAAGCAATCTCTTCTGGTCAGACTCCACATCTAGAGCAGATTACCATTTTTTTGGGGATGTCTTGGCGTTTGATGCATGCTACAAGCGCAACAAGTACAATCGACCATTTGTTATGATGGTTGGTGTAAATCACCACCACCGTAACATCATATATGGTTTTGCCCAGTTGGATAACGAGACAATCCCCAACTACGTTTGGTTGTTGAATACTTTTCTGGAGTGTATGAACTCTAAGATGCCGACTTCAGTGATCACAGACGGATGCAAGTCAATGTGTGGCGCCATTGCTACTGTTCTGGTTGGAGTGCCTCACCGTCTATGCATTTGGAATATTGAGACAAATGAGCATTCAACCGTTCATAATAGAGAGTTCGTTAGCGCATTCACATACTTGGCGAAAGCACGTATATTGATTGAGGAGTTTGAGAGCTGTTGTGAGCATTTGATTAGTGAGCATGGTTTTTCTTCAAATAAGTGGTTGCAGTATTTGTACGCTGACAAATTACTGTGGGCAGAGGCATACTTGAAGGATATTTATTTCGGTGGACTCCAATCAACCTCACGATGTGAATCATGTAACCATTTGATAAATGGGTATGTGAGAACTTAATACAACTTGCAACGTTTTGTTCATGGCATTGATGAAGCACTGGAGGGGATGCGTTTCACAAAGGTGCAAGATGATTATTCTTCTAGGCACACGAGGCTGGTCTGCAAGCATGCCCTTCGCACATGGGAAATACAAGCTGAAAGTATCTACACACATCATACATTTGCTATCTTCAAGTTTGAACTAGAGAATGAACCTTCTGATGTATTAGTGGAGAAAAGAACTTAATCAGATGGGACAGTGACATTCATTCTGAAGAACCGCATGAACCCGGATCAAATAAGGAGGTTAACATTTACTACGACATATCAAGATCTAAAATGTGAGTGTGCATTATTTGAATCTAAGGGGTTTCCATGTAGACATATGCTTATAGTAACAAAAAATATGGGATACACCGCACTACCCTCCACGTGGTTCAAGCTTCGATGGACCCAAAATGTGAAGACACTAAATCGTCATCCTGGAGTTGGAGGTGATGTGGGAGAGAAAGTTGGTCGACTGATAAGACATGGAGGATTGTCTGTAAAGTATAAGCATTTGTGTGACATCGCGTGTGGTAGTGAAGCTGCTTCAAGTCAGCACGAAGTGCATCGGGCAAAAGCGTAAGAAAGTTTCGAAATGTGGGAAATATGGTCATTATCGCGCTAAGTGCCCCAAAAAAAGTCCCCAAAAAAGATCTTAAATTTTTTCTATTGTTTTTTAGGAGTTTATTTTTTTGTAACTGTTGGCCAACCATTTTTCTTGAAAGTTCCCTTTTTTTCCTCTAAAACTAAACCTTTGAAAACCCGGATCGTCACTCCAGTATTCCTTGGAGACCAAGAAACAGAGGAATGTCGGCTTGGATACCAAAATGAAATGACCCGATCCTTTTTGAAAACCAAACCATAACTCAAACCATAAACCACTAGGACCACCGCGTTATGTCTCGCCGTCCGGTGTCCTACCCTAGTATGCCAACCGCGTTACGTCTCGTCGTCCGGTTGCATACCCAAACTCATCAATGGCACTGCGTTACGTCTCACCGTCTAGTCCATGCCCGTCAACTACTACGTTACGTCTCGCCGTCCAGTAGTGACCCAACCTCCCGGGGGTTCATCTTACCATCAACCAACTATTACAATCATACATCCATACATTCATACATACCACAACGCGTGCCTCCACCCTTACAGGAGGTGGGATGCCTCACACATATATCGTTCATTACTCAAAAATTAACTAATTAATAACTTGAATGAAAAGCATAAACTAAGAGACCTACAATAGAGATTTTACCCCCTTTACACTCTGACACGCTAAAACACAACTCTTTACAATGGCCAAGTGTAACCAATGAAAGGGACTGCAATATAGTGACACAAGTAATAAATATCGAATCCACGGGTCTCTAGAGTTACTATTACTCAGCTTCAGTTCATTATCTAGCAAACTAGATTAAGGATTGAACTACTCTACTAATTACAAGTTGGGAACTCACTTAGGTATGATTCCCCCTAGCTCCTCAATTAGGTCCAAGTTGCAATCACCTTTGGTTGATCTACTATTGATTAAACTGCGGAAGATCCTAAATTATCTTGGAATATCTTAAGCTGACCAAGCCCTCTTAGATAGAATACCCGGCAGGCGACTAGCCTTCACTGGGATAGACTGCTAAGGTGATTCACACAGATCTCCACTACTATAATGAATTCCAGTACAAAGTAGTGAATTGATTGACTCTCGCACAACCAATTCACCACTATCAATCAAGGAAGCTCTCTTAACCTAATCAGATTCTATCTATCATAGGTTAAAGCAGAAATCAAGAGAATTTGATCAAGATTCAATTGACTCAATAAATCATGCCTCAATCGATTATAATCAAACAATATAGCATCCAAAACTTCATACAAGAAAGATCCTAACACATGAAACTAGGGTTCCTCAAAACCTAAGTGAAGGTAAGTTACTCCATAGAGAAGAGAGAGACTACAGAAATCTGATCTAGATCTTCAATCTCCATCTCCAAGCTTGATTCCCGAGCTCCAATGGCGAATAAATCCTCCAAAATAGCTCCAAGAATGTTCCCAAGTCACTCTCTCTCTAGGGTTCCTCCCTTGCGTGTTTGGGAACCAAAACCTAGCTCTCCCAGAAGCCCTCACGACACTCCCTCGGTAGTAAAAACACTAGCGGGGGCCAGATAAAATACGGCCGTGTTTTTAGGGTAGTCTGCCTGTGTTTTTACTGCCGAACCTGTTCCCCTATATTCAATGTTTCGTTTCTCCCTCGTCCGGGCTCTGAATCAGCCGCCGTTTGATCCCAGACGCTCGTAGTATCGTCCTCTTTCTTTTCATCACAAGATTGCATGATTCTTCGTCTATAAATGAGGTATAAATCCATACTTCTTCAGGTCATGCCCGAGTTTCTTCTCCTGAATCGCCAATTGGTATCCGATTGACTTGAAACTTGCGCCTAGTCTTCCCTTCGACGCTTGGGACCTGAAACGTGACAAAGAAACACAACCTGGCATAAAATAGGCCAAATAAGCAATAATTCAAGCTTAAACGATCAGGAAGTAGAGGGGAAAAACATGTGCAAATATCAAGTCATCAAATCCCCCCACACTTAACTGTTTGCTTGTCCCCAAGCAAACCTGACTCAAACCAATGCAACTCTCCAAACCTTTACAGCAACACGCAACCCCCATCGTTGGTAGCGGACTTCCTAAATCATTTAGCAGCTTACGAGGTCAACCAACGCACAAGGCACCTCCTAGCTTCTTTGGCGAGAACTCTAGTATCGAGTCGGCATAATGGCAAATAGTGATCAGAGGACAAATGAATCGTGGACAAAGGGACTCTAAAAAACAGAAAGATCATGAACTCACTTTCTTTTTAATGTGCTCTATTTTCTTCTTGAAGATGGTTGGAACCCTTCTTTTTTTTTTTTTTTTATTTCTTTTTCAAGGGTCCCAACCTATTATTTTCAGAAAATGGGGCTCCCACCTATTAAAGGTTTTGAGGGAGCCCGACTCTTACTAGCCATGCCAGGAGAAGCTCTTACCGGCCATGCCGGGAGTAGATGTCTCGAGCCTCGTGCGAGGGAAGGAAATGTAAGGGGACTGGAGGTAGTAGGTGGAAATTGGGAACGGATTCCCGTCTCCCCTTACACACTTTCACCCTTTTCGCACGTGAGGCGTTATTTTAAAAGCACAATTTAGATAACTTTTTTTTCAAAACATGATACAGGAGTCCATGACAGGTAGAGAGTCCACAATACCACAAAATTCAAGGGTCCTAAGATCACTAATTCACACAATCAACCGACACAATATGAAGAAGAAAGGAGACTTCTTAAATGCATCAACATCCTCCATAGTGCTACGCTACCTCCCTAGGTTGCATATTGCTATAAAGACTGTCAATTCAAAGCATACTGAGCAGGAAATTGCAAGGAACACGTGCTTTGAGCCCTCAAATCAAAATTTGGACAGTGGACTAGGCTCTCAACACACACATACAGCCAAACATTCACACGCATACATAATCGAACATCCCCCCACACTGAAGCACGACATTGTCCTCAATGGAGGAAAGATAAGGAGGGTAGAACGATGTTACTAGATCAAGGGTGAATGATGGTGGGCTGGGCAGGCGGTGCATTATAGGAGGAGAGAGTAGTCGGAACACAAACACCACACAAAATCTCACAAAGGTTGAAATATTGACTCTAAAATCAAAGAACAAAACTGACTCAACCGAGGAGAGATAGGGAAAGAAATGCAAACCGACTAGTTGGGTTGCCTCCCAACAAGCACTTCTTTCACGTCGTGAGCCGGATGGTAGCTTGTAAGTTTCGGTCCATGCTAGAAACTCTTTGAAGTTGAGGTTCTCATCTTTGAGGTGGAGTCTCAAGTCACGAGCAGGTGGTGTGGCAGGTGATGAAGGCTCGTGCACTTGATGCAGTTGAAGTCTCCACCCTCGAGACCTCTTCCTCGTTTCTTCTCTTGTCTCATTGCCCCAAACCAAATATAACTGTATCGACTGACCACCATCGCGTCCACTAAGAGGGACCGATGTCGATGTGGCCTTGGTCTGGCAAAGAGACACTGCAAATGGGTCCTTGCTAAGCACTTCCTCGAAGTTTGGTGGGGATATTACTTGTATTATAGAGACGATGCAAGCTTCTTCCACCTCAACTTCATCCTTAGCCTGGACACCACTCGCTTCTTCAACCACCCTTCCTTTTTTAAAATGTGGTCTCTCTCCTTGGAAAAGATCAAGAACTACCTCTTCTTTTCTTTCTTCCTCATCCTCCACAACTTCTTTTCTCACCCTTTCTCTCTTTTCTTCTTCCATAACGGATTGGAGAACAAGTCTCCATGCAAGATTCTCAATAAGTTCAGATTGCATCTCCTCACTCGGGCCCAACATGTCAGAGCGAAAATGGGGAAAGTTGTGATCTACCACCAGAGGATACACTTGATCATGATTATCATGAGAGAATTCCGTGACAACTTCTGTATGCTCCTCAACATCCTCATGATTTCCTTCTTCTTCCTCCTCCTCTACTTGCATGGCGGCATAAAGGTTGTCTTGAAAAAACTGTGAACAAGCTTTCTCAATGACCTCTATGTGCTTCTTTATGCTCCGAAGGGTATCCTCTATTTCACGGGGAAAGGAGAAGTCAGTTTGGGCAATGGCTGGATATGAGGATCCATCTCGGGAAAGGATCTCTCAAGTACTCGAGCAATCTGCTCCACGAGAAGCCTCAAGTGATAGTTTGGATCTGGCTGTGGAGTGTAGCATGGCTCTGCCGGATGGCCCGTGAGGGCTGTGGCTAAATCAAGATATGATGGCCCTTCTGGTTGTGGGAGGAATTCTTCTTGATAAGGAGGTTGTTCTTGATATGCCCAGGGGTCTGATTGTTCTCCGTAGTAAGGGGGTTGGTATTAGAACCCGAAACCATAGTCTTCCCCACCTTGATTGCTCCATGAAGCCTCGGGGTAATACCACTCAGATGGTGGTGGATACCCCCACTGGTTGGAGAAGCCATTAGGATCCATGATTCCGATTTGCACCAACAAAAACAAAAACACCCAAGTGAAAAGCAAGGTTGGAAAAAAAACCCGCTAAAGTAACAAACTTCTACCTTTCCTAATAATCTAGAAAGTCCCCGGCAACGGCGCCAAAAACTTGACTCGCTACGACACAACACCTTACAATGGCCAAGTGTAACTAATGAAAGGGACTGCAGTATAGGGACACAAGTAATAAATATCGAATCCACGGATATCTAGAGTTACTATTACTCAGCTTCAGTTCATTATCTAGGAAACTAGATTAAGGATTGATTTACTAAACTACTCTACTAATTACAAGTTGGGAACTCACTTATGTATGATTCCCCCTACCTCCTCAATTAGGTCCAAGTTGCAATCACCTTTGGTTGATCTACTATTGATTAAACTGCAGAAGATCCTAAATTAGCTTGGAATCTCTTAAACTGACCAAGCCCTCTTAGACAGAATACCCGGCAGGCGACTAACCTTCACTGGGATAGACTGCTAAGGCGATTCACACAGATCTCCAATACTGGAATGAATTCCAGTACAAAGCAGTGAATTGATTGACTCTCGCACAACCAATTCACCACTATCAATCAAGGAAGCTCTCTTAACCTAATCAGATTCTATCTATCATAGGTTAAAGCAGAAATCAAGAGAATTTGATCAAGATTCAATTGACTCAATAAATCATGCCTCAATCGATTATAATCAAACAATATTACATCCAAAACTTCATACAAGAAAGATCCTAACACATGAAACTAGGGTTCCTCAAAACCTAAGTGAAGGGAAGTCACTCCATAGAGAAGAGAGAGATTGCAGAAATATGATCTAGATCTTCAATCTCCATCTCCAAGCTTGATTCCCGAGCTCCAATGGCGAAGAAGTCCTCCAAAATAGATCCAAGAATGTTCCCAAGTCGCTCTCTCTCTAGGGTTCGTCCCTTGGATGTTTGGGAACCAAAACCCAGCTCTCCATTTCCTTTGGCTTGAATCTGCCTCAAAAACCCGATTCTGGGCAAAACACGGTCGAGGACACGGTCGTGTATTACTTTTTCCCGCCCGTGTTTTGCCCCCAGAAGCCCTCACGACACTCACTCGGCAATAAAAACACTAGCGGGGGCCAGATAAAACACGGTCGTGTTTTTAGGGTAGTCTGCCCGTGTTTTTACTGCCGAACATGTTCCCCTATTTTCAATGCTTTGTTTCTCCCTTGTCCGGACTCCGAATCAGCCGTCGTTTGATCCCAGACGCTCGTAGTCTCGTCTTTTTTATTTTCATCACAAGCTCGCATGATTCTTAGTTCATAAATGAGGTATAAATCCATTATTCTTCAGGTCATGCCCGAGTTTCTTCTCCCGAATCGCCAATTGGTATCCGATTGACTTGAAACTTGCGCCTAGCCTTTCCTTCGACGCTTGGGACCTGAAACGTGACAAAGAAACACACACTAGCGTAAAACAGGCCAAATAAGCGATAATTCAAACTTAAACGATCAAGAAGTAAAGGTAAAAACATATGCAAATATCGAGTCATCACACTCACCGCGAAAAGATGACTCCTCGATTCCTTCTTCGATGAAACTCCCTCCTTAGCCGGATTATCTTGGGGAAACCTCCAGAACATGCCTAGGACTCAATTGGATGGCCTGTGACGTTGATCTCCTCGTTGATCGATGATCGAACCCTCAAACGTTACCACTAGAAACACGAAAGGGATGAGATCGGGGTCGGGCACAGGTGGCGGCGGGCTTCTTGATTTTTTTCTCGGACGTGCTAGGGAGAGTGCTGGCGGCTGGGGGTTGCTCCCTGGGGAGAGGAGTTTTTCTATGGGGAAATAATTTGGGGATGGGGAATTTTTGGTTTACGCTGGGGGAGTGGGGATTAGTTGGTGGAGTGGGCCGCTCGGCCCGAGCAAAATGTATTTTTTTATAATATAAGAATAATATAAGAATAGTTATTATTATTATTCTTAATCCGCGGTTGTAACTCTTAGTACGTAACCGTTAAACTAACCACTCATTAAATATGGTCGAACGCAAATCTAAAATACCGCGGTGTTACATGACTTACAATGCTGGATCTTTTTTTACAAGTATGGTTGTAGCCATAACATTGATATTATAATATTTGCATGTACCTATTGGCTACTATCGAAGAATCAATATCACGTGTTTCAAGGTGAAATTAAGTCCTTTTGTGACTCGTCTGGAATATCACAATAAAACTCCCAATTAAGAACCAAGTATAAACCTCAATTGGGTGAAATATAGGGAAAATATGTTTAAATGTCAACCCGGGCCGGTTTATGTACCGCTACTTCGATTGTTTGTAACACTATCTAGCGATTGATTTTTGGTGAAAATAATGATCTATAGCTAAAATGTTTGGAAAAGTAAATGGATTTGACACTAATTGAGAAGGCTTCACCCGGGTGTTGCTCCCCCTAGCTAACAATTATGACTTGTCGGATCGAATGGTCACGTGTGATAAGGTTGTTGTAAACCGTAAGGAAGTGCAACAAGTAGCCAAACGCCACTCTCTCGGTCTCTAGGTCGAGGGAATTCGATTAAAGCCACCAAAGTAGCTCTTTTGACCTATTGACTAAGGGTTTCCAGGACTTCACCCTCGAATCGGAGTTTGGACGACCAAATTACAACGAACCGTAGGTGCTAATACGAACAAAGAGGGTTGCCCTACATTAACCTAGATAGGAGACAATGATTTGCCTAAGAAAAACCAGCTTTACAAGTCTCTTTCAAAGAATGACAAATAGATTGATAGGCAAACACACAACACTATCTTTCATGAAATACCTCCAAATTCACATTAAAACACATCCACACACAAATCATTCAATACATACAAACATTCACATAATTGTAGCTAGGGTTTACAAACACCCAAGTGAAATAAGGGACTACTCCATGCTAGGAGAAGGGAAAACACAAGAGAGAAGGAAAACCATCATGGAGATGCTAGCCTTGCTCCTTGTGTTGAAGAGATCCTCTTTTGGGGAAGGAATTCCCAAATCCTTGCGTGAAGATGATACCCTAGTTTCTTCTCTTCTTTGGTTTGTCACTTTCTCACTCTAGAAATCTGAAGAAGAAGTTTCTCACACTAGGTCTCTCTCTTTTCTCCTCCAGCTAGGGGTGTCCATTCGGGTTCAGTTTTTCGTGTTTACCCGAAACCGACCCGATTATATACATTTTCGTTTTTTTGAGTTTGGGTTCGTTCGGGTTTCAGGTTTTTCGATTACGGGTTCGATTTTGCTTATCGGTTTTTTGGGTTCCGGCTGAAAACCTCCAATGAATAGAACTCAACCCGTATTCTTAGGCGTTTGAGTTTTTGGGTTTCGTTTTTGCTTTAACCGAACCCGAACCCGATAAGGAATTTTTTGGGTTTCGGGTAACCGGAACCCGCAAGTCCTTATCGGGTTCGAGTTCGGTTTCAATGATTTTTCAGTTTCGAGTTTTCTCGGGTTTTGGTTTGGGTAACCAACCCTGACCCGAATTGACACCCCTACCTCCAGCTCAAGCCTCCTTTTATACCCAGATCGGGCTCAGATCACGGTCCCAGTTCACAGCCGTGAACTGAAAGCACGAACTGTGATCTCAAGTCAAAACACGCCGCATCACTTAGTCGATTTCACGGGCAATGGCCCGAGTTCACGGTCTTACGACCATGAATTGACTTGAGTCTAGTGAAAGCAAAAATGTCCCAGGACGCCTGGCAGTTCACGGCTAGCGGCTCCAGTTCACGGTCTTAGTGATCGTGAACTCATAGCTTCCACCGTGATCTGCTACTGCTCCTTCCACCCTTTGACCTGATTTTTCGCCCTTTCGTCCAACTTTTGACTCCGGGGGTTGGTTCCACCTGCTAAACTGAAATGCACAAAATCGAGACAAAACCCCACATAAAACCAAACCTCCCAGAGTAAAAAATGACTCAAACGACGAAGGAAATCGGGGGTAAAAAGTGTACAATTGAGTCTGAATCACTTTGCACAAGTCCACTTTCACAACAAGCAGCTTAAAGCCTTTGAGAAGAAGAGTACAACTTGTGGAGTTGGTAGAGTACCAAAGTTAGAGAATGACGATTGATATGCTACACACCAACATAGTACGGTTGCACATACCTCAACACAAATGGACCAGTCATTCACTCTCCATCTAGCATGATAGTTGGAAGCATTGTGAGGAGAACACCATCCTTTGTACAAGAGCTTGTTATGTGAGCCTTGGATGAGGTTTCATTACTAATGTAGAACTGGTCGAAATTGTGCCTGGAGTAAAGGATTACCTAAGAACTATGGGTTAGGAAAGTTATTCTCCAATCAATACTGATCATGGCCATACACCTTATTGAACCTACTACACTATACCATCCACACTAGGGGTAAAACCGAACCGAATCGAGTTCAAACCGACCGAAACCGAAATAATTTTAATTAGGTTCCGCATTCGGACGGAGATAGGCTGAATTTCGGGAGATAGGTGCTTTTTGACCGAACCGATAAACCGAAATACCGACCGAATTTCCGAATTAATAATGGCCCAAAACCTCAGCAGTCAGCCCACTCCCTACTTGACCCAACTAAAGCAGTCAGCCCACTCCCTACTTGACCAAACTAAAGCCTAAACCTGCCAGCAGTCAGCCCATTCTCCTTCTCCTATCCGAGAAACTAAGGCTTGCTGCTGATGCTGAATGCTGAAGTCGAAACCCTCGCAGCCAGCAGCCGCCGCCGCCCGCCCGCCAGCAGAGAGGCAAAACCGGAAACCCAAATATGCTCTGCTGTGTCCCCGTCGGCGTGGTCCGTCGCCATCTCGTCATCCCCCGAGGCCCGAGCCCAACGCAACGCCCCGACCCGACCCCGTGTCCCGACGCCCCCTGTTCCAATCTCGACTCTCGACTCTCTGCGACTCTACCTCCGTCCATCTCTCCCATCGCCAGTCCGCCAAGCCACTCGTCGGCCGCCGCCTCCTGACGGCCTCTCCCTGCTCCCGCCGACACCCGACAGCCACCCAGCTCCCACCGACAGCACCACTCACTCGTCTCCTTGAAAAGTATAAAAAATGGCAGCAGTGAGCAGCCAGCCCCATGCCAAATTTCCAGTTCCAGCAAAACAGACCAGAAGGCAGCAGGCAAAAACGGGCAGCAACTGTGCATTTCGGTTCTGGACATTTAAATCGAACCGAACCGAGCTATAATTCGGTTCGATCGAACCGAACCGAATTATAGCTCAGTTTGAATTCGGTCGGAGTGCTGGTTACATCGGAAATTCGTATGTCCTTGTTTGGTTCGGTTCAAACCGAATCGACCGAACGCCCACCCCTAATCCACACCTTTTAAGTCATTGCATATTCAACGACTTTTGGGCTAGGGGCTGACAGATTAGTGTAAACTACGTTTATAGAATGGCTAATTTTGTGACATATTATATAGCTTCGCTAGCCATATAGCCCATTGAAGAATATATTTTTTTTATCACCTTTTAATTATCTTGGTTACTGATTTTAATCCTCTCCATTTTATTAATACATAAAAGTTGAAATGCAAATAAACCATATATTTCTTACAACATCAAAATCCAACAAAGAAAGAAAAAAATTTCCCCCGATCCACAATCACTCAAATCCATTGCCACTGATTTTGTTGTCCAAATTCTAAGATTTAGCCTAACTTCAATTTTCATTCATCAACCCGTAAGAGTCGGTGGTTTCGCACCTCCGCCGCCCCAACTCCTTACTCCATGAAATTGTCCGTATTGCGCCATTAGGCGGCATCATGTTTTTACTGGCAAAGAGCTACGACAAAACTCCGATTTTACCTTGCGCTTGAACAAATTCAGAATTCATTTTGAAGACGCCTCTGTACCTCTGCTCCGGCGCCGGCGGGCAGTGTTAATTTAACTAATAATAACGGAATCAAACGATTCCAGACGCCGCACAGTAAAAAACAAACGACGAAAACACGGAGACCCTCGCTCAGCTCAGCTCGGCTCCATCCCAGCTGCACCACGCCGTCCATCCACGCGGTGACTAACAACTAGCTTTTCCAAAAGGGAAAAAAGAGCCTCTCTTCTTCTGTCCTCTGTCGTCTTCTCCTCATATGGAAAATGGAAAAAACCCCAGCGTCTTCTTTACTTTAACCCTCATAAATAATCAGAGGAAGACTTGGGTTGGGTCTTGGTTGGGCTGGGGTAATCACTCATAATCATTGAATTAGCTCCGTTACTTTTTCTCCCCATTGAAGCAGCCGCGCCACAAACGGGGTTGGGGAAGGCACCTTTTCACTCTCTCTCTCTCTTCATCTCTCGCTCTCAGGAAGGGAGCGACAATGGCCATTCGACTGCGACTTCTTCATTAGTCTCTCTCTCTTGCCGAAGCTAATAAGTTTGTTTAGTCAAGGGAAGACCAACCCCTTTTGAGATTTGTCTCTCCCATCCCAAGGATATCACTGGGTCAATCTTAATTCCGCGGCTGCTGTTCCAGGGAGAAAAGGAAGATCTGGTCTTTTCCCCCTCTTCTCTGCTTTCTGGGAGGGAAAGGGAAGATATGGAGGAAGAGAAGAAGAGTAAGGAAGAGGCTCCCCGGCTGCTGGTTCAGAGCCTGATCGATATGGTGAACGAGATAGCTTCCATCTCGGATTACAGGTGCTCGGTGAAGAAGCAGTACTGCAACCTAGCTCGGAGGTTGAAGCTCTTGACTCCAATGTTCGAAGAAATTCGGGAGAGCAAAGAGGCGATCCCCGAGGAGACTCTGGATTCTCTGGCATCTTTGCAGGTTGCTCTCGGTTCAGCCAAGGAATTGCTCAGATTCGGGAGCGAAGGCAGCAAGATTTATCTGGTACCCTACTGCCCTTTTGTGGAGTTCCCCACTTTTGTGATTGTGAATCCTGCTTCTTTGCTTTCCCCTGTTTCAACTTTTGGGGCCATTTTTTTTTTCTCTGGGGGTTGGATCTGTTCGGATACTGAGAAAAGCCTGTAGCTAAGTGGATGGATATAAGTGGCAAAGTTTTTCTTTTTAGGAATTAGAACGATCGAAGCAATTTTTTTAGGATAAGCATCTGGTTCCTCAATTTCCGCCCTTTGGTTATCTTTTTGTGATTTCTCTGCGAATTCCTTCAGTTAGATTGACTCCGTCTTTTCTCCCCTTCTTCGTCTTCTTCAACTAACATATGGGCTTCCATGATTTACTTTTGGTTCCATGTCATATTCAGATCAGTTAGCATTAGCAAGCAAGTAGAACAGAATATTGTGTTAACACTTACTCAACATGCCTTTTCTCCATTATGCTCGCTGTATTTCCTTTTTGTTTGCCTCAAAATGTATTTAGTTTTGGTTTCATGGCTGTCCCTTTCATATATCAAGTTTTGGAACTAGATTCCTTCCACCAATGTTATAAATTATCGCCGATCCCCTCCTCTCCCCTTTTTTCTTTTCTGTCTCCATTATTGTTATTGTTTGTTGGTTGCCATCGCTGATGTGTTGTTGGAATGGTTGCAATGTCCTTGTCCTTCTGATGCATTTTTGTTCCTTGCGCTGTGCTTGACATCTTAAGCCTTTTATATTCCTCCCCTTTGTCCTTCTTTTCTTCCTTCCGGCATTTTAACGTGACAGGTTCTGATCTTATCCTTAGTTAGCTGCTTAATATCTGTGAAAGTTGAAAGTACCCCTTTTCCATTAGCAGTGTTGGTTCGTGCTTCTTGTTATTGGATATCTAGATTGTTATGCTTGACCATTTGTGCATTTTGGTGGGCATGTCTGTGAATTAACCATAATCTGTATCCACAACCTATTGCTAATCTAGTCATAGGTCAATGTTGCAATGCAATCTCTACTGCTATCTCTGGACATGAATAAACCAAGTGAATTTGTCTTGACTCATGAATGTCAAATGTCTCCTTTGATTAAGTTTCTCTTCACCATGTAAACTAATATCCACTGCTGGGGTCATCTGACTTAATTCTGTTGATCTGTGATATTCAACTGTATCTGAAAGGATAGTTTCTACTATACCTTGCAGGTATTGGAGAGAGAGGACATAGTCGTCAAGTATCATGAGTTGACATTTCAGTTGGAAGAAGCTCTAAGTGGAATCGCTTTGGAAAAACTTGACATATCAGATGAAGTTAAAGAACAGGTAGGAGATTCAACAAACTATCACATTTGGTCTTAGCATGTATGTTTTAGTTCATGTGTGTGGCATTTCACTGAAACTATGTAGTTGATATAATCACCATTAACATTAGGCTTTCTTCCGAGGTCAGTTTATTTGAGGAAATCCTTTTCCACCCAGCCTTACTTATAGGTCTAGCATTGTGCACTAATGCTAATGCGATATTGTACGTCGGTATCAGATGATATATGATTTGATATGTTGGTGGATTTCTGATCTCTGGTTGCCAAAATACCCCTTGATTGCATGTTCTGTCTCTTTGTTCAGGTTGAGCTCGTCCTTTCCCAGTTCAGGAGAGCCAAAGGGAAATTCGAATTCCCTGATACGGGCCTCTATATCGATATTGTTAAGCTTCATGAAGAAACTTTTGATGCATCAGAAGTTCCTGCTCTTCTACGGAGATTGTCCGAGAAGCTACAACTAACTGGGATTGATGAGCTTACTCAAGAGTCACTTGCTTTGCATGAGATGGTTTCTGCTACAGGTGGAGACCCCGAGGAGAAAATAGAGAAGATGTCGATGCTACTTAAAAAGATCAAGGATTTTGTTCAAACTGAGAATCCGAACATGGATGCTCCTGGGGGAAAAGGTGCTCCTCCCAGTGGCAGTGGACAAGCTTCAACCGACGAAAATCACAAAGTTCTAGTGATACCAGATGATTTCCGCTGTCCTATATCTCTAGAATTGATGAAGGATCCCGTCATTGTATCAACAGGGCAGGTATATGAGTTCTACAAACTTATTTTCTATGGCATTTCAAATTTCCATTTTTAATCATGTAGGAGTTCAATGTTGTTTCACACTGCAATGTGGTTGCAACTTGCAATGACCTGCATCCCTTATCAAAACGAGAGTATAAAAAAGTCTTTCTCAGTCTCTTCTGGACCCTTTTTATCTGATTTCTAACTGTTGATGGAACTCATGATCCTTGCTCTCAATTGGCTCAAAGTAGAGACTAAACTTTGTTATCTCCCTCTCTGTCACTTCTAATCATCGTTTCATTTCTCTGATGCAGACCTACGAACGAACCTGCATTGAGAAATGGCTGGAAACACATGGAACATGTCCAAAGACGCAGCAATCTCTTGCTGGTACCACGCTCACCCCCAACTATGTCCTACGAAGCCTCATTGCCCAGTGGTGCGAAGCAAATGGAATCGAACCGCCAAAACGACCAAGCAGTTCTAGAACCAGCAAAGTGACGTCTTCCTTCTCCCCTGCTGAACGTACAAAGATCGAAATACTCCTCCAAAAGCTCACGTCTGGAACTCCTGAGGATCAGCGTTCAGCTGCAGGCGAGGTCCGCCTTCTCGCCAAACGTAATGCCGACAACCGTGTTGCTATTGCTGAAGCCGGTGCAATTCCTCTCCTAGTTAGCCTCCTCTCAACGCCCGACTCTCGCACCCAAGAACATGCTGTGACGGCTCTGCTTAACCTCTCCATATGCGAGGACAATAAAGGCAGCATCATATCGGCTGGAGCAGTTCCTGGTATAGTAAATGTGCTGAAAAAGGGTAGCATGGAAGCCCGGGAGAATGCTGCTGCTACCCTTTTCAGCCTTTCAGTCATCGATGAAAATAAGGTCATAATTGGTGCTTCTGGAGCTATTCCCCCACTGGTGATGCTTCTGAGTGAAGGCACCCAGAGAGGGAAAAAAGATGCTGCAACTGCACTGTTCAACTTGTGTATTTATCAGGGGAACAAGGGGAAGGCGGTCAGGGCTGGGGTGATCCCCACACTGATGTGCTTGCTTACCGAGCCAGGTGGTGGGATGGTTGATGAAGCTCTGGCAATACTAGCGATATTGGCTAGCCACCCTGATGGTAAGGCTGCCATTGGTGCTGCTGAGGCTGTACCTGTTTTGGTTGAAGTTATTGGAAGTGGATCTCCAAGGAACAGAGAAAATTCAGCTGCTGTTTTGGTGCATCTTTGTTCCGGAGATCAGAAATATATGGCTGAGGCACGAGAGCTCGGAGTGATGGCACCACTTTTAGATTTGGCGCACAATGGGACCGAACGAGGAAAGCGAAAGGCTCAGCAGCTGCTTGACCGTATTACTAGGCTCATTGAACAGCAGAAGCAGGCCGAAGGCCAGTCAGATGCTCAACATCAACCAAACGGGCCATCATCCGCTGTCATGAATCCTGCAGATAGCTGACAAAAAATTTCGAGCTTCTGTGTTTGCTTTGATTTTGTGGTT